TCAACCAGCTATAAAGGCAAGAAATAAAAAGGAAGAAAATCAATGGGCAATCAATGGGGAATCAATGGGCAATCCCAAATATATTGCACAATCTGATGCTGATACGTTAACAAATATTGTGGTGTTGTTCGATGTATATCTCGAAAATAGCTTAGTTGGATCTTATCCTCCCCAGCAGGATCGAGTTAGTTTGTGAGTCGTTCTCGTAACTCGTCGATCAGTTAAGTGAGTTGTTGGTTCGGTCAGGCAACTGGGTAGACGGCCGAGCCGACTGCTAGGAGAGTTGCCTCGATTAGGAGTCGGGTGGATTCCCGAGGAGTCGTCTTGAAGATGAGGGGTCGACTACTTTCGTGCTTCGTGTCGGCTAAGACTGTTTGCTCTCGGCTAGGCTTTGGGCCGCTGAGTTAGTTTGGATCACGACTCTATTAGGTCTATGAAGGCAAGCTTCCAATACTTTCATCTGTAGATGGTAAATTACCATAACAGCTTCTATCAACACTATACATAGTCCTTACTATACTATTTGCTGAATAGGTTTTCAAAATTTTGGCTAAAGACCAATTATGATTACATCAGATACTTAGATGTTGGATACTTCATTAATTCGTATCTAATAAACTATTTGCTCAATCAACAAAAAGGAAACTGAACTACAAAAGGAAGCAAAATTAATGCAATTTATTATGACATTTAAGAACTGGTCTCTACTTTTTTGACCTATACCTAACCACATCAAATAAATTGCATTCATAAAAATTATTATCACAATGATTTGGGATTGGATCCTACTGATATTTTCCTCATTTTTTATTTTTTTACTGTATTTGTTTATAACATGATAATTTGTACAACAAAGTTGTATACTATTTATCAGAATGTACCTAAACTTCTGCCTAAATCAAATTTGTTATGCATAATTACGTGACCAACTTTTCTTCTTTTCTCAAAAAAAGAATAATATTCTCTTTTGCCCCTCTTTTGAGTTAAAAGAAAATCATAAACTTTATGTCGAGAATGAACATAGAAATCTGCTAAAGGGAAAGATATCACTTATTATTTGAACTTGAGTTAAAGAGAAAAACTATAAAAACAAACCTTCAATGTTCAGAAATCAGTCAATAAAATACGTGTCTTAAGTGGACAATAATGTTTCATATTGATTAATTATAATTGAAAAAAATCATCAATTAAAAGCACAGACTTGTGTCAGATTAAACTCAAACCAGTTGGCCAACTGCAATATTGGGCTCTCCGCAATCCCAGTTAATTCGAAAAAAAAGGAAAGGGGTTTCTTTATATTAGTCCATTAGACATTTAACTAATTTAATTTGGTCCCTGACATCATTGAAATTGTTACCAGATCCTCCAATTCTTGCAACTTGTCCCCAGATTAGTCCTTCAGTTCTTCAGTTAGGAGTAGCTGCAATGAGATATAAGAATATGGGGACCCAATAGCAATTTCATCATCCGAGGGACTGATTACAAAATAGTAAAGATGTAAAGGACTAATATAGATAAAACCCTAAAAAGAAAATCCACGTTCGCTTCAGTCGATAGTCGTCGGCTTCCCGCGTTTTCAGTGCGTAAAACTCTCTCTATTCCTGTTCCCCCCTCTCTCTTTATTACACAATTTAATTAAATTAAAATGATTTTTTTCTTTTTCTCTTTATTTTTTACCCCCAAAAACTTTCTCTTTCTTTCCTCAAAAATAGAAAACAAAAGCTCCAACCAAGAAAGAGGAGAGAGAGTTTGTTCTCTTATAGTAGATTTAGGGAGTTCTCGAGGGGGGGAAAAATCCCAAAAACGCCGGCCGATTCTCATCCCGAGATTTACCGCGGCAAGGTCGGATTTTGATGCAACTCCGGCCATCTCCGTGGCATTTCCCAACTGGGTTTCCAATTTCTTGGGATTTCATTCTCTCTCCTGAGAGCAATTTGAAATCTTTGGAGACCTCTGGCTTATCCAATTTTGATTCATTAATCAATCTCTATGATCCCCAGACAAAATTGTTCAAATTACTATTTTGGTCAGAATGATGGTTGAATCTTTTGCTGAGGATGAAGCTCAGGTGTTTGATATGATGCCCAGGTGACAAGGGGTCACCTCGGTTTGGGCCCTTATGGGCTGCATTTGCTCCAAAGGGATAAACAAAGATGAAATCCTAGCCGACATCGAATCCACCAAATCTTCACGGCAAGTCGCCACCCCATCGAAGGAAGTTGAGGGATCAACACCTGACGTGGAGGCAAATCCTGTACATAGGGCTGCACCCCCGAGGTCCCTATCAAAAAGAGTTTTAGACATTGTGTCTGTTCCAGTTGTCGCTGCCATCACGAGAGTGGCTAATGGGCACCAGAGGAATGTCACGGTTAACGCAGAGGAGCTAAACTCAAGAAATGGGGAAGTCGCCAATGGAGTTTCCACGGAGTATGTGATTGCTGGCTGGCCTTCTTGGTTGACATCGGTTGCTGCTGAGGCGATTAAAGGGTGGTTGCCTCGGAGAGCAGAGTCTTTCGAGAAATTGGATAAGGTCAAGTTTGATGCTTTTTGCTTGTTGTTGTGATTGAATTGCTATTGCATGCATATGAATTTAACTAGGACTTGTTCTCTACTAGTATGTTTAGTATATTTTGTACATGTTAAGACTATAAAGCTATAATCCTTAACACTCACCAGAACGTTGGAGTTTTGGTGTACCTAGCAGGGATCTTTGATTTGGTATCAGAACAACCTAAGTTCAAATCTTTCTAGCAACAAAGATACCGCTCCACGAGTACTGGTCTCAGCCAATGAAAAGGTGCTTAGCCTGTGAGGGCATTTTAGTGTACTATACTATAGCCCTTAACCATCATCACAACTTCAGAGTTTTGGTGCAGTGGCAGAGACATTTGAATGTATGATTTCTCATATTAGCGTAAATCTAACCTCTGAGCTTTCACCAGACACAATAATCACAAGTCTTTATCTTATGGTTTATAAAATTTGCGAAGATGCCATATTTTTTGCATTTGTCATCAGCTTTACCTTGTAGTCTTGTCGACAAGCTTATGAGTTAGCACCTTATGCATTAAAGTTAATATGTTCCTGCTATACTTACAATGTTAAGACACACATTTCTGCAACTACCACCATGTACAATAGCCAATAGGTATTCATTACTCTTTTGTATTGCAAATGGTACCCTTATGGCTTCTTGTTATCCAAATGAAAACTACTAGCTACAATATTAATATGTATAACTGGTGTGATAATCATGTGTAAACCACTGCCACTGCATTAAGAAACAATAACTCACGAGTTTTTTACGTGAGTAACGTGAATGTTAATTAGTGTGAGTTTGACCACCTGTTGGCGGTAATGGGGATGCACACTGATTGAGTTAAATGAATATCTCCAATGTTCACAATGCAAGCTGAGGATTGAACTTCAATTTATTATGATATATATCCAATATTCTTTTATGAGATAAGTATATGTCCAATATTTGCGAAGCAGTTTGGAAGTAGTCTTTTTTTTCTGCACTTTATTATTCTTGTCATTATTAAATGCCCAGAGAAACTGAATTTTATGCTATTGTCTTATGATATTTGGTGCTTTTTATATTTTGTTTCTGCCTACTTCGGTTCTTGCAAATTGACATGTTATGGTTAGTTAGTCTATAGGTACTGATTCTCTTTACCAAATTTGGAATTTATTCTACAGATTGGACAAGGAACTTATAGTAGTGTATACAGGGCCCGTGACCTTGAGACTGGAAAAATTGTTGCACTTAAGAAAGTGCGATTTGTTAATATGGATCCTGAGAGTGTGCGCTTTATGGCAAGGGAGATCCATATTCTTCGTAAACTTGATCACCCAAATGTTATTAAACTCGAAGGTATAGTTACGTCACGAGTCTCATGCAGCCTGTACCTTGTATTTGAATACATGGAGCATGATCTTGCTGGGCTGATAGCAACACCCGGTATCAAGTTCACTGAGCCACAGGTATATGCAGTTAAAGACAGTACACAAATTATTTTCTTCAAGATCTCACAACTTACTTATTTTACCTTATAAGGGTCTTTTTCCTTTTTTAAGTGTTAAAGTTACATGTTTGGTAAATTTTACTTATTTACGTATTCTTTTCTTGTAAGTATGAAAATAAAAGTTGGAATCTCCAACTAATGTGTTTGGTCCTTTTTAGTGCATGTTTGGCAAGTTACTTATTTCAACTTAGAAGTTAGTTTTACCTTATAGGGATCCAAAATCATGTTTGGCAAATGTTACTTACTTATTTTTTACTTACAAGTAACCAAAAAGTAAGTTGGGAAATCCCAACTTATTTTTTGGATCGTTATAAGTAGATTTACTAACTTATGGTAAAAGACTACTTTTCCCTCTAATATAATAAGTAAAAATAAGTAATAAGTTACTTATAAGGATTTAAGGAATAAGTATTAGCCAAACATGCCCTTAGAAGGTTTACTTGTTGGTGTTACAGGACTAGTTCGCCCTCTAACAAATCCAAAAACTCCATCCGATGTCCCTGGATCTGCAAACCCGTTCGATCATCGTCCAAAAACTCTCTCATATTTAAAGACTAGCTTGCCTCTACCAACTCTCCTTATTTTTTTACTCCCGTATTAGGGTTTTCAAAGATAAGTATTAAGGAACTTACAAGGTTTCACAAGATAAGGATTTGTCAAACATACTCTTAGTTTCTTCCCAGTTGAAATTATATTCATCTCAGTTCAATTGTCCTACGGTTTTCAGGTCAAGTGTTTCATGCAACAATTACTCAGTGGGCTTGATCACTGTCACAGTCGTGGGGTTTTGCATAGAGATATCAAAGGTTCTAATCTTCTAATTGATAGCAATGGAGTTCTTAAAATAGGAGATTTTGGCCTTGCTTCAGTTTTTGGTCCAGCGAAAAAACAACCAATGACTAGCCGTGTTGTAACACTATGGTATCGCCCTCCTGAACTTCTATTGGGTGCAACTGTGTATGGTGTGGCTGTTGATTTGTGGAGTTCTGGTTGCATTCTTGCAGAATTATTTGCTGGGAAGCCTATTTTTCCAGGAAGAAATGAGGTAAATCCCACCCATTTGATGGCCTAATATGCCTATATCATGCACACATAGTATTTGGAGCAAACAATACATTTCCTCACAGAAAGATTATCAATCATTGCATGGGTTCTTAAATACTTGGCTTAGTTTCATTTTGGTAACACAAAGGTACCCCTTTTACCCATTTTTTCACTTTGATAACCTAAAGTATTTATTTAACACTTTGATACCCTAAAGTTTAGATCCCATCTTACCTGGACACTCCTGTACAGATTTTGTTAGGTTTTCTTTTAATGTTTGAAAGATATATAATTTGCAACCTCGAGTTTATTTTTGAGATGGTGTTCTCGCATCTCCTATGAGAGCATGCATTAGATTCTAGGTTCAGTTTAAACTTGTTTTACTGCTTTAAACTTTTTTTGGCTAAAGTTGTCTTCATTATCTAGTCATTGATACCTAAACCTCTTTTAGGTTGAACAATTGCACAAAATTTTCAAGCTTTGTGGATCTCCAGCAGAGGACTACTGGAAAAAAGCAAACATTTCACAATCAACTATTTTCAGACCTCAACATCCATATCCACGTCGTGTTAATGAGACATTTAAAAAATTTCCTTCTTCGACTTTAAATCTATTGGATACACTACTTGCCATAGAGCCAGATGTAAGGGGAACAGCAACTTCTGCTCTTCAGAGTGAGGTCCGCTTTTTTGAATTTTTGTCACTAAGTTGTATTTTATGATTTTTGTATTGTAGCTAGGTAACCTGATACTGTAAACGTATAAATCCATAGGTGGGCCACTTCGAGGTGTTCACAATTTTCCTCCATAGTAGCCTTCTTTTAATGTTCTGAAGTTTTTTTAAGGCTAATTTACACTTAAATATCTCAAAGTTTCACCTACTTTTCACTTATATACCTGATCAGTTGTATTCTATCTCACTTAATGTGCCCTGAAATTTCCTCCGTTTAAATGTAGTAAACAATGTTAACTTTTTGGTAAAAAACAATAATATCCTTGGCTAAATAGTGTCACTATTTCTTTTCCAAAAAAACCAAGGGCATAAAAGTCCTAAAACTATCATCTGACAATCACACAGCTATATTTTAAGGAATATTCTAATGGATGTCTAAAAGAAGGTACTGATGTGCTACTTTTAAAAAACTTTAGGGTCTAAAAGTGCGACGAAATACATCTGAGGGTATAAAAGCACCAACTACCAAGTCTTCTTTGAAATATCTTCAACCCGGTTCTCATTCTTTATTGTACTCATCTTCTTGTGATTAATATGAAGTTACAATTTTTTTTTCCAGTTTTTCACTACAGAGCCTCTTGCTTGTGATCCTTCAAGTTTGCCTAAATATCCACCAAGCAAGGAGTATGATGCTAAGCTTCGAGACCAGGAATCTAGGAGGTACTACTTTTATGCATATATGCAAAACTTTATACTTGTTTCAGTCTCCATTCTTGGGGCTACTTCAGATGGAATCTGGACTGAAAGGAAAGAAATATTAGGGGAGCACATTTTAGCACATTAACTTGTGGATATGGAAGTTACTTTCATTTTATGTGGTTTAGGCAAATGCTTTATAGGACTTTCTGTCTTAAGAAGTGAGAGGCATTGGAGGTTTGAAGGAAAGATCGACGATCTATGGTGTTTTATTGTTTTATTGTGTTTCTCTAAGGACAAATGAGAAGGAAAGCACTGGTGGAAAATTGAGTGAATAACTATCGTCATACAGTCATATACTTAACCATACTCTATCAAGTTTCCATGTCTCGCACATGAAACTACAACAAAATCACCAATTTCTCTGGTTCACTTAGATGTAAAAAAGAGTTCATTTTTTCCCTCAAAAACAATATAACACTGCAATGTAACAGTCTAATAATTATTAACGCCAACCGACTTAAAATCATTTTGTTTGACAGGCAAAAGGCAGCAAGTAAAGTTGGGACAGCTGAAGCTGGTGGAAGAGGAGATTCCCAAGCACAACAACCACAAGATTACAGTACAGGAGTCCAGGTGCTCGTATATTACATTTCAAAGCTTACCTAAACTACTAATATGTGGCAAACCATAAGAAAAAGGGTTAATTGCAGAGACACCTCCTCCCTCTACTATGGGGTTTAGCCACTTATATCCTCTAAACTATTATATATTAATATTCACACCTCTGAAAACTCAAACAAGTTACTTTTGCTCTCAATTTAGAGGGCAATTTAGTCTTTGTTTTAGTTGACCTGAAGGCAAAAGGTAATTTACCATCACCTGATTCCCATGTGATATCTCAACCTAACGGGGGAAATAGTGTTGTCTGGCGATATGAAGTAGCTTCAGGGGCATAAATTATTTTATCCTCATAGTTTGAGGGGTGTAACTGCAATTAGACCAAGAAAAGGGATTAATTACAGATATCGTTAATTGAAAGTGTGTCACAACTGATTCAGTGGTTTACATAGATCAGAGCCACTATTTTTTCCATTCATTTATCCCTTTTATATGTGTTTGATACAGAAGAAACAAGCAAATATCAATTACTCCAGAGAGAATTACAATCTTGCCATTGAACCCCCTTCAGAAGATGGGTATCGGCACGCTGGAAGTACGATGCACCCTGGTGCATATGGAAACTCAAGAAGTAAGAATCCTAAGAATGGGGATCATCGGAATTTTCCTGGACGATCAGTAAGTACTTTGAAGACAAACAATGGTGCACAACTTAGAACACAGAGATCATATATAACTCAGCATGGAGATGCTGGAGACTTGGCAAGCTTTGCTGGCGTTTCGAGAAACACTGCAGGCTCGAGATACAATAGACCTGCTTCTAGCCACAGGAAAAATGATAGAGAAGGCAAGGATTTTACAGTGGTAAATTCTTTATTTCTTTCTTTATTACTTTTTTAATTTGTTCTTACAAGGAATTTCCTATTTAAAATTCTTCCCTGCAGCGTAATTTTTAAAGTTAAGCTCAATGTAGATAGTATCAAACTTGCTGTTTAGTCAGTTTTGAATTGTCTCTGAAGGTGTTCTGTTTGTCCAGCTCTAACGAACATTTCCCAGGAACCCTTTAGGGCTGTTGTCATATATAGACCCCCCAAATCTTTGTTAATTCTATATCAGACCTTGAATCTTCATATCTAAATGGGACCTGCAAATCTTTGTATTTGTTTGAAATGGGGGTACTATTTAGAACAAGTTAAAAGATTTTGTGTAAATTAAAAATATGGGGGTACTAAAAGAGAATAATGGATTTTGGGGTCTAGTGTAGAAATATAAAGGTTTGTAGCCTAATATAGAATACAAAGATTTGGGGGTTTAATATGACTAAAACCAACCCTTTAACTCTTAACTAACATCTTCCTTATTTTTCATTCTCTAGCTAACAACATACATCTCTTTGTCTCTCATCATATATCCTATAATTCAGGACCGTAATTTCCATTTTAAATCATGTTCTTCACTTTAGATCATTAGATATTGCATAAGCATACATAATTCACCAAAAAGAATTCTTGTTGGAATTGTGTTCTTATTATTTATTATTTTTCCATTTTAATCTTTTTACCTTTGGGTAAAGTGCAGATATACCCCATGTAGTGTCACGCAATTGTTGAAAGACCCCCTATAGTTCTAATTGTGGGGTTATACCCTTGAGTGAAATTTTTTACTCTTAAAAGAGTCAAATAAAAGTTTCATGGAGGCGGATAGACTCTCTGTAGTTCTATTGATGTGAATAGGTCTGCAATTGCTTCTTGTTTGACTCTTTCGCTAATTTTTTTTACTCTTAAAAGAGTCAAAAAAGTTCACCAAGGGGATTTATCCGTACTTAGAAAATAGTATGAGAGGTCAGTATGCACGAATAGAATTATAGGGGTCTATACGCAATTAACCCTTTTTTTATTCTGAATCTAGCTTACACACATCAACTAAAAATTACCATGTAAGATGACACTAAGGCCTCGTTTGGTACATGAGAATCTGAATCAAGTGAGAATGGAATGAAATAAGGAATGGAATGGAATAAGTGTGGGAATGGAATGCTCATTCCCATGCTCACATTTGGATGGGATTGGATGGGATTAGAGGATGAAGTGAGAATGACAATCTTTTTTATTTTTAGTATGGGTAAGTAATTACTAAGAAGCAATCAAGGCATATTTGAAATTTGTTTATATTATTTTATTCCCAATTTAGTGGGAATGCTCGCTCCCACCATCTCATAGGGAATGTTACATTCCCACATAAATGAGAAGTGGGTATGGGTTTTCTAGCTTCCAAAAAGAAGCTGCGTTTGGTAGGCATGAATGAAAATTGGGAACGAGTATTACATTCCCGTCCATTCCTATGTAATAAACGAGACGCAACAATCTCGACAGCAATCAGAGCATCGTCTTTATATCTGAATCTTTGGAGTGGGTTATGCTTTAGTTGATCAAAGATATCTTTTTTCCAGTATGAAAATTCAAGTTGGATGACTAATATGCATTCATGTTTCAAATTTTTGTAGGATTATGGAATTAAAAACAAGAGAATACACAATTCTGGACCCTTGATGGGTGCAGGTGGAAACATGGATAACATGCTCAAAGAGCACGAGAGGCAAATCCAACAGGCAGTAAGAAAAGCTTGCCTCGATAATAAAAAGACTTAGCAACACTACTGAGAAGAAACTTTTTTCTTATCAGCAGTTCAAGATGCCAGAGAGAAGAAACATAACAATCACAGGAATTGTAATTTCCTGTAGCTTGAAGTGCTCACATTGATCCTATTTGGAAAGTCTCTCTCAAACTGTAAATCTTGAATCCGTTCTCCCAATTGTAAATGTATGTTCTATATGAATTTTTGACAAGGGACTGATGATCTGTGTTCGAGGATGGTGACGGGGCTTTTTTTAAGTATACATGTACAGATCGAGGCGAGGATTAAACTGTGGAAAGCCAGATTTTTTTTTGGATAAGTAACAGGAATTTAAAGAAGTTGTGCTTACAAACTTTGTTAGTATATATCAAAAATTTCCTTTTCATTGTAGTAGATGGTTTATTTTATTTTCTATAACTGCTTCACAGTCATCAATTGTTTGATGTTCTGGCCACATAAGGTTATGGTTTGAGATCGACTGTGGAAATTTGTAACCATGTCTCAGTCCAAAACATCAAAATAAATAAATAAATAATAAATAAATAATAAAAAAAATAAAAACTTGAGGCAGGTTTCATGAACATAGATCATGTTCTCAGATCATCGATAAGTGCTCTAGAGTTATTTACGGTTAGTCTTGGTGACTTCAGCACTAACAAATAGCAACGGCAGCAAGCAAAGGATTATTTTATGTTTGCCAGTTGAAGGTTATGTTTTTGTTCCTTCTAAGGTTTTGGGTGAGTTTCTCGATTGGTTGTGATCAAATCTCAAACTCTGTATTTCGTCAAATTGCTAATGAAATGACTGCTAAGAATACCCTCTCCAAAGAAACATCATACCTTTTCAAATTTGATACTTACCAGATGCATAGAATTCGAATTGAGCAACATTTATACCAAAATTCAGGATGATATCACCCTAAAAAGTCCTGACAAATATCCTACAACATAAATAAACTGGATCTCACTACAGAATTTCCATTAAGAACATGAAAATCACATATGAGTTACGCAGGAAGCTGAGCAAACAGTCCTTGAATATAACCAACAATGCCTATAGAATTTAGTAACATTACAAAATATCCAGGTACACTAAAATCACATATAAAATTACATTTCTTTTTACCCCCATCAAATTTAACATTACAAGATATCGAAATGAAGATGTTTCACGGTAAATTATTTGTACAAATACAATCCCAACCGTTGTTCTACGGAGATGTGCATCAGCTGCTGCTACCAAATTGCTTCTGGATGTCCTGGAATGAAACAGTGGCAGATCCTCTCCTCTTAGCCTTCTGTTGTGAAGGATGTTCTTTCCAACCTGTCATGTATATGACCTGAAAAGATCACGATGGCATGGTTAAATATCGCAACAATGAAATGGAAATGTATTCATTTTAATTCTACTATGTTGATGGTGGTGATATATCTTACCTGAAAAGTTGCTGGTATGGTTCCATCCTCTGCTGCAAACATAGAGTCATAGATTGCAGCAGTAGCTAAAGCTGTCTCCCTCTTCAGGATCTGACTCAATCACAAAAAACTCGTTGGATAGTGCCGAAAGAAAGAAGTTACTGTACTTGGAGAACTCTGTCCAAGGACTGATTGACTATGATAATAGATCATACTCACATTACTCCTTTGAAGAAGGGCATTGGTCTCACCCATAGACCGCAAATGTTCTATCAGCTCCAAAGCTATGTCAAATCAAAATTGAAAGTAAACTAAGGGTGAAAAAGAGGAGTTTGACAATGGGTTAAATGTTTCTAGATTCTTAAAGTTCTCTTGGTTATTCAGGAATAACTTCCAAGTGAAGTTGTATAAATGTACTACACAAGGAGCTGTGTATCGAGTAATACAGCTAAGAAAAGAATAACTGACCACCCTTAGTAAATGAATGTAGCACCATAAGTAAATTTGATTAGTAAATTTCAGAATCTGATGCTCCTGGCAGTTACCACTATTATATCTGACAGTATATTCATCAACATCAACACCAGGAAGACTGAAGCCTGCCCTTATCAGAAGATTCCCCGCATCACGAACCTAAGGAATACAATTTCATGGCAATGAACAAAAGCTGATCACGGACCCGAGAGGACACTAAAAGATAATTTCTCTTTCTAACTAATTATGGTGTTAAAAAAATAGATTGTTTAGCAAAGTTTTTTTGAATATGAAGCCTCATGTAAGCATTAACAATTTTATACATCTCCATCCTGGAAATTTTTAGATGCATATCAAGACCAGATTTTAAATATAACACCAATGCATGCAAAAAATTAGCTTAGTTCAATACCACTTAAATTCCTACACTTGTGCAAAGGAACATAGAATATTTACATACAAAGCTTTCATATTTGAATCTCCAAATCGTACTCTTTCCTAATTCACCCTCCAAATAATATACAAACTCATTAGTTTATCTCTACGTTTAACTGTGGTTCGATTTCTAATTGAAAGAGGGAGAGATCTCTATTTTCTCTGTTATCCTCTTCCACCTTCAACCATAATCTATGAAAAGAATCTAATAAGAAATCTCATCTTCTTCCTCCTTCAACCACAATCCACCTAAATCTGGACTTTTATGAGGAAATGCAGATGATTGAAAATAGATAAATAAAGAAACCTAGAAAAATAGAAGAATGATTGTTAAGAAAGCACTTAAATTCTGCCCCATTACTAAGTAATTACATCTAAACTTCACAGCTAAAACTGCTACTTTTTCGAAAGCAAACAAAGGTTCATCATGTTTATAAATTGAGGTCAATATGCTATGTTAACTCATGGTTCATTTCAACCAGTTCAAAACAAAACATGTGAGTGAGAGAAGTTAGATTTCTACCGTGCACGTCATCTTATTTTAGCAATGATGTAATGCCACAAATAAAAGATCTGTAAGTTTCTTATACAACGCAAACTACAACACAAACAAAGCCTTTACCCCAAATTGAGCTACATGAAACCTATTCTTTCAGAGATGTTTAAATAATGATAATATTCGGTAACAAAAGAAAAGATTTTAAAAACTCCAATGAGCTCAAAGTGAACAAACTTTGCGGCAAGAGACATACTTGTGCCAGAGGAGATATTCGAGGACTGATGCCTCCTTCACGTTCCATATGAGCAATAGTGCATGCTATCCTTAGTTCTCTGCTCAAGGTACCCGGTAAAACCACAAGAAAAAATTAATTTGACATTCAATGATTCCAAAACACACAAGTGAGAAGACTATCACACATTTCACTGCAGGAAGGATTAAAACTACTCAGAAATAGATAGATAAAACTAACTTCAGAGTTTCTCCGCCAAGGATAGCAGCGAGAAACAGACCATCAGGCTTCAATGCCAACCGACTCTATCAAAATAGGAAATTACATTTCAGCACCTATGTACTATCAGCAAGAACGGTGGATACCGTCCATGAATTCAACAACTGATCTGAAGGAATAAAAAAACTACGCATAAAAAAGAAGGCAAGATGTCACCAGCTATGGTAAGAGCATACCTGTATCATGGCACCAGGAAGATCATTTGTCCAATGAAGCCCCAAACAACTGATTACCAATTCCAAAGAGCTTCAAAAGGAGAGGTCTGGTTAATTAATAGTGTTTATTATGTACACACTCATGAAATTTAACATATTCTCACAACAAAAGATTAGCTGCATAATACATGTGCACAAAGATGGTAAACATATCCAGACCTTTCTTTCAAAGGAAGAAATTCTTCATCTCCAACTAAATATGAAGTCTCTAGGTTTCCACTAGAGGAATCTGTATGCTTTAAATGCTTAACCATGTCAACTGATATATCCATCATGATAAGCTTTTCTATACCACCTGACATCAAGAAGTTTTTTTTATATCGGTCAAGGGAACATCAAAAACAACTTGCTACTTTGCAAAACATCAAGTTTCAGCCATTCAAAAATCCATCTCAGTGCCAATATTCATGATAATTGTGCTTCCATGCATGAAAGCAACTGCCAGTTATATGGTAAAACCAACCATTATCATTTATCGTTACAGATTAACAAGGATATGACATCGAAGCAACCAAATAATGTGTGGAATGAACTAGAGTCGTCAAGTGGAAATAAAATTACTTTCCAGTGTCAAAAATCTATGAAAATAAATTACTATTACTTTGCATGATAAGAGATACTTAACCATATATTATAGGAAGTAAGCAGTCATATAAGAGACATATATGAATATCTTAAGAACAAAAATCGTCACCAAGCAATCAGCTTGGACATGATAGTTGAAGACACAAGTTACTTTGAGACTATAATGCTGCTTGCGGCTTGCAATAACGCAATGGTACCTGTTTGAACAAAAAAATCCAGCAGAAACATTCTTTTGCAATCTACAGAAAAAATATAAAATCAAAGCATATACAAATTCAACTTACCACGCCCTCGTAGTAGGCGCCTGACAGCCTCTGAGGAACCTCCTAGACATAGTGCTGTAGGAAATGTTCTTTTGCAATCCTGAAAGTGTTAAATAGTTTAAATATTTAAAAATCAATTAAAATTCTAAACCAAAGCTGCATGTGGTCTAGATTAGCTAACAATCTTCTAGTGAAACAAAGGTTCCAAAATCCTAAAGGACAGAAGCAGCATCTCCAACTTATGCATAGTTCTCAAACTTCAAAAAGTTTACTAATTCCAATAGGGATTACAATCAAAAAAGTGCCTCTTATCCAACATAAACACAGTGTAGTTCCTTCATTAGGTCAATCGTTATCAATTTGTACTTAAGATATCTTTAATCTCTTATAGGAAAATTTTCATCCGTCTCGAATCTTAACAAAGGAATGGACTCACCAACTAATATGTGCAATTTAAGTGCTTAATATTTTCTTTTTGGTCTAGAAGAAAATGGAGCACATAGGTCGATCTCAGTGCAATACAACAAAATAAATGGGTCGATGAACGTCCAACAGTGACAAGACTATGAGTTACTTTGTCAATAATAAAACATTAGAATGGATGAATAACTGAATAAGGAAACCAACGATTACCCGCATCAATATTAGGGTATGTAATTATGATGTAGGATGCATAACGAATAAATTCATGGAGACATGTGACCTTCACGAGTCAAATGCGGATACAGATAAATTATTGACTTTCCCACAAAGAAACGCCCATATCTCCCAATCCGGAAGGCGGATTCTGACATAGTACATATGAAAATCACCTACCCCATCTCAACAACTTATATATATGATATGTCAGAATCCGCCTTCCGGATATAGGGATTTTTAGATCTCGTAAAAACCCCCAAAAAACCACCAAACGCAGCAAATAAAATCACACAAAATTTAACGTGGAAAACCCTCAACAGGGAAAAACCACGGGATCAAAATCAATCCACTATCACCTCCAAATTATAATCTTTTGCACAGATAAAGACTACCAAACCCTCTCTCTCTCTACACTTCTTTTTGCTTCTCTTTTTTTCTCTCTAACAATAGAAGGATATATATAGAGAAACCAAAACTCTATCTCTAGTCTAACTTCCTAATTAGAATAAGATTCAAACTCCCAATCATGATGGAACCCAAACTCCTAATCATGATAGATCTCTAACCTTATCTAATTCTCATGAAATTATACAAAGAATTAAAAACCATATCCCAATTTGGAGTTTGAGTAGATACTCAACATACCCTCCCTCGACGAAAAATCTCCAAGTGTCTCAACGACTTCAGAAAAACTCACTCTCTTTTTCTTGTTCTTCACCTCTCTCTTGTGGACAAGAGTTTGAGAAGAGTAATCTGTACCATTAACGGATCGCCCATCTAAATAGCAAATATGATTGCTATTCTTCCTCCCTCGCAAAATCAAATCACAATCTCTATACACATTGCATCACTCTCCTTCACCCACATACTTGTACCCACGTGATGCCATCTCACCTAGCGAAATTAAATTAGCACCACATGTCGGCACATATCTCACATGATGAAGAATTTCGACCTTCCTAGTGTGAAGCTTGAGGCGAACACTTCCAACACCTTCAACCTTCATCTTCTCGTTGTTTCCAACAATCACGTCGTCAAATTCTTCATCTGTCTTCAATGTGTTAAAATAATTCCCAGTGTGAAGCTTGAGGCGAACACTTCCAACACCTTCAACCTTCATCTTCTTGTTGTTTCCAACAATCACGTCGTCAAATTCTTCATCTGTCTTCAATGTGTTAAAATAATTTTTGTTGTTGCAAACGTGTATAGAGGCTGCAGAATCTAACACCCAAGTGTTACTCGCATCAGTACTTGTACTCTGCATCAATAAAACCACATCTTCATCACACACAACCACTGAGGAGTCCGTCTTCTTCCTATTTTCTTAAAGATTCATCTGTCTAATACTCTTCAAATCATCACGCATCTGAAAACATCTGAACTGAATGTGACCCTTCTCTCCGCAATAATAACACTCCTTTTCGCTGTCGTCTCGGGCCCGAGATTTTAACCTTCCTCGATAACTGTCACATCTCCCCGTACTCCTCCCTCGATTAGAACCTTCAAAAGCTAATGCACTCTCACCATCATTAGATGCGTTCTCCTTTCCCATCATTCTTTCATTCTCATGTAGGAGTGCTGTCACATCATCGAACTTCAAAGTCTGCTTACCTGCAATTATCGTCTGAACTAACGGCTTGTACGACTTCGACAAGAAAGACAATAGGAATAGCGCCTGCTCTTCTTCTTTAATCTTCTCATTAATATTCATAAGTTGGCAAACTAGCTGATTAAAGGCATTGATATGACCTTGAATTGCAGTACCTTTTTCCATCTTCAACGAATAAAGCTCTATCCTCAAACACAATCGGTTGGTCATCGACTTCGACGCATAAATCCCCTCAAGCCTTTCCCACAGCCCCCTTAGTGTGGTCTCTTACATAACATTGTACTTGATCTCGGGGGCGAATGCCAAACGAATTGTGCTAACCGTCCTCTTTTACATGGAACTCCATTCAACATCTTTCAATCCTTCAGGTTTTTTTTCCTTCAAAGCTTGATCAACACCCTACTGCACAAGAATATCTTGAACCGTGCACTGTCATACTGTAAAATTTTCTTGGCATTGAATAGCGGAATATCAAACTTCGGATCCGAAGAAGTCATCATCCTCTAACCACGATCAAAATTCAAATCAGTCCCTGTAGTGATTGAATTTGATAAAATCGACGTCAAAAACGAACTCAGCACGTCGAAAAACCCTAAGAACGACTCATGGATCACCGAAATCCGCCTCCAAATTCTCGATCAAAAGACAAATCAACATCAACCGTTGGATCTGTCGTTACTACAACACCATCGCTACAGTACCGTGAACAGTGTCACCACGAACAGTTCTTCCGCTACAGTACCGCGGTGAACAGTGTTGTTGCTACAGTTCCTTTGCCACCAATGTCGTTGCAAATCTCGAATCTTCACGAACCGCTGAACCCCTATCTGATACCACTTGTAGGGATTTTTAGATCTCGTAAAAACCCCTAAAAAATTACCAAACGCAGCAAATAAAATCACACAAGATTTAACATGGAAAACCCTCAACAGGGAAAAACCACGGGATCAAAATCAATCCACTATCACCTCCAAATTACAATCTTTTGCACGGATAAAGACTGCCAAATCCCCTCTCTCTCTACACTTCTTTTTTCTTCTCTTTTTTTTCCTCTAACAATAGAAGGATATATAGAGAGAAACTAAAACCATATCTCTAGTCTAACTTCCTAATTAGAATAAGATTCAAACTCCCAATCATGATGGAACCCAAACTCCTAATCATGATAGATCTCTTCCCTTATCTAATTCTCATGAAGTTATACAAAGAATTAAAAACTTTATCCCAACTTGGAGTTTGAGTAGATACCCAACACCGGATTGGAGATAATGGTCGTTTCTTTGCAGGCAAGTCAATAATTCATCCGTATCTACATTTGACTGGTGAAGGTCCCATTTTTCATGAATTTGCTCGTTATGCATCCTACATCAAATTGCCATTATGGAAGATTTGTATAAGTTCTAGCAAGACAAAAGGAAAGCTTCTTTCAAAATGAAATTTTTACTGTTTTCTCAAGCACTTATTCTGTGTTTTTATTAAAAAGTTATTTTTACATCCTTCTATTTAGAAGCAAGTCATAACCGCTTTTATCAAAATTTGTTCTTGGAGCTCCCCAGTTATGTTTTGGCATTATGGATATAAACTAATACAGCTAAATGAAATCACAGCAAATACGACTTTAAATGATAAAAAGATGAATTTGATTAAAAAAAATACCGTTCCAAATTACCTCTAGGCGATCTAGGAGATTCTCAGCAACGGAGTCGACGAACTGATCCTTGCCCCTCATCAACCACGCAGCTCGATCCCTCTAAAAAACGCAATGGCTATTAACAGAAAAGATCGCATCTTTAGTGAAAATTTTAGGAATAAAGAGGGAAGGGACCTGTTTCCTCTTGAGATCTCGATCGAAGACTTTGAGTCGAGAGCTTTGGAATTCATCGCCATCATCAGTGCTGAAAGAAGAGAGGAGAGAGAAGAGGGGATTATTAGGATTTCTCTTTCTTCCTAATTTTCGAGCTAAGGCTTTCCTCAAACCCAGCATCATCACTGAAGTAGAGAGAGAGAGAGAGCGCTATCGATTTGGAGGAGCGAGGGGTTTAAAAAGTGATGGGATTTGGGTTTGTTTGCAGGTTAGGCCCCTAAAATTTCAACCCTCTCCAAATTTGACACCTTAAAAATTTGTCGTGGCAATTTAATAACCCAAAGTTTTCAAACCGACGTCAATTTAACAATTTGATACCGCCAAAACCCTAACTTTATTCCTCGGTTTTCCCGAACTCAAGAAACTGAAACCTGGCAAGAAATTACTCGCATTCACTTTTCTAAGCCGATATTCTTGAACAAAATTAATGTCGACTTCTTTGAGCTTTGGAGTATTAAATTGTCAAAATAGACTTTCACGGTGTCAGAGTTATAAAGGTTGAAATTTTAGGGTATTAGAGTGAAAACCAACCCATTTCCAAATTTATTCGTAAAAGACGACCTATTTGAAACTTATTTGTTAAAAACAACCCAGTTTCAGCCAACTGGCTGAAAGTAGGTCGTTTTTGGCGAAAAAAATACCAAACTTCACGGGACTGGCTGAAACTAGATCGTTTTTTGCGGAAAAAATATCAAACTTCATGGGACTTCAAGTCCCGTGAAGTTGGCTGAAACTGGGTCGCTTTTGGCAAATAAGTTTCAAAGAGGTCGTTTTTTACAATTATTTTTGAAAATGGGTTGCTTTGCAAAATTTGTCCTTTTGCAAATTTTGGTATTTTATAATTAAAAAAAACTTACACGTAACTTAATTTTATTCTTAAGAAAGAACGGACAATCATTGTTAACGAGAATTGAAGTCTACAAACATGATAGTTTACCAAAATTACCAATTAAATTTAAATCATAAAAGAAAGGTAAGCAGAAATTTGAAACTTTGTGTCCAAAATATTCAGAAAATTTCAGCAGCAGCAGCCATGACACATTGCAACTTAACAATTTCAGCTGAAAACATAGCAAACGTTTCAGAAGAACTTTTCATATTATTAATAAAGAGAGTAAAGGAGAAGACACGTTCAAAATATATACTACCGCTCCTGCATGTAACGCAAATCTCACCGTTTGAATTGGATATGTTTCTCACTTATATAATTCTGATGAATTAGAACATATAAAGATAAAGATATGAGGGCAGTTTAGTCAGTCTCGGAACGTATCCTGGCAAACTTAGCCAGGGTACTGATTTTAACTTGGAAGAAATAAATACCTTTTAATTTGACAAAAATCTATATACATGACAGTTATGCAGAACCCCAAGTATGCAAATTGTGGTCGTCTCGCAAAATCCTATGTGGTTTTTGAAAACAAGCACGAAACAAACTTCCATCAGGGAACCAAATCAGATAGAAGTTGCGAAACGACGAGAGGGAACCACAGTTCATCTGATATGGTCCACCAATGTTCATGTCATCTGATATGAGGGAGACACAGCTAATACCAGAACAAAGCTGAACAGTTTCGATATAGTAATGAGCTCAATAAACTATAGAGCACTGTGATGTAATTTACTCAAGATTATATCCCGAAGCAGATTAAACTCGCTAAACATTCCATAAGGCATTTCACATCAATGAGAAACACTCCACTAATAATAAGAGAATATTACATCTTTTAACTGGAATATTCTAAAAGAATGCGATCGCATCCAGCCCAAGAATTACAAATGATAATAGTTGAAAAGTTGAAATAAATTGGGTTTACATTGTATACACATTTTAATCTCAATAAGCCGTGCTTATATACATGGGTTGAGCTGTGGTTCTGTCGAAACCTAAGCGTCCATTAACTAACTGAAACTTAAATTAGGTCAGGGCAATGCTAGTTTTCGTTCTCGAGAGCCTCCATGACACCCTCATTGGCTTATTCCACAATCAGAGAGAAATTTCAGGTATTTCGACTCAAGCTTGCTGTATTCACTGGACATCTTTTCAGAACAGGCAGGAGAATGATCTTCCTCAAAGGGATCCTACAGTGGTAGGAAGTTCAATATATAGGTCTTAGCAACAAGTTTCATGTTTTTCAAACACAACATTTTTAAGGGTTAATTAATTGCAGATACACCCCTTGTATTATGGCTATTTAGATACATATACCCCATAAACTATTTATTAGCACTGCCACCCCTTAAATCTCACCGCACTGCTTTTCTGCCCTCAATTTGGAGGGCACTGCAGTATTTTTTTTTCAGTGGAACTGAGGGCAACAAGTACTTTGCCTTCTGTGACATCCACATGCAACACAAGGAGTGTATCTGCAATTAACCCCATTCTTAAAAGTGACAAAAACCAAGAACAAGACAACCCAAAAAAGAAACAGAAAGAATTAACATACACTTCCGGCAAAGTCTTTGGCAGAGATAGTATCAGGAGTATCTGATACCATGTCATCATCAAGAATAGTTCTCCACCTATCTGTTCTCAATTCACAGTGAGGTGCCTCAGATTTGTTTGTTACTCGACCTTTTGTTTTCTTCATAGCTTTACCTAGGAATGCGTTGATTAAAAAACAGATGCATAATGCTACGAGAGGAATCAGAAGGAGAGGATAACCACAGGGTTTGGCCTGATAATAAAAAACACAAATCTCTTAACAATTAAGTTACTTCTGTAAACAATTTCTGAAATATCTATTTGGAAGAATCTAATAAAAACTAAGGTTAAATTCATTGAGATGCAATTTATCAACAAAATGACTTACAATTTGTGAGTGATAAGAGGACAGCTTGGATAGAACTTTCTGGCTTGCATGTGTCCATTGGATATTTGAAAGAGTTCTCCATCTACCGAGTGCTGGATCACATAGATTGCCTGGCTCCTGCATATTAATCCAAAAGATTTAAGTATTGAAGTTCAAAGTTACTAAGATAACCCTTCTATTCCAATGAAAGAGCAAAGAGACTTGGAATTAACTAATTGTTTACTCATAACCCAAGGCAAAGTGATATTTTGATTTCTGACATATACAAGAAATAAGATGCTCTTATGACCATGCTATTGCTATGTCAAAAAACAGACATATCGTGAGAAAAATTACCAGAGAAACAGCATAAGAACAGAATCTTATGAATTTACTAATCGAACTAATTGACTGAGATGCTATTTCATAGAATATTATATCTAAAAACAATTCCAACATGTCCTCCAGATTATTTTGCTTGGAATATATTTTCACATTTAGCAGACAACAAAAATTAAAAAAATGCATTAAGGAGACTACCAATTCTCAGTAGCCAAATTCTAAAAGTTGGTTTAAACTTTCACAATTCGTCAGGAACTTTTACTAGAATAAGAAAGACCATCAAATCTCTCAAACATATGATACAAAAGATGTCAACAATGATGGAGCATATTTTCAGGAAAATAAAAAAAAGAAGTGTTTTTTAAGGAGAGGAAAAATGAAGTGTTGAAGCCATCTTCTAGATAGAGAATCATAAATTTATAAGATCTTAAAGTCTTACCATGTCAAATTTTTCTGAACGAATTGGTATATTTAGCCTTTCACTTTCAAAAATAATGTCAATGTTGACTACGTTATCATTTTCTGCAGCAATTTCAAGTATGGATACTCCATATCGTCTTGAAATTGATGTCAACGTTTCTCCCCTAACAATGAAACATTTCAACATTAAGCACATTTTGTGCAAGATTGAGTCCAGATGTTAGCTACTCACACATACTTATATAAAAAAGAGACATATATATATATAGAGAGAGAGAAATGGAGAACCTTGGTACCAAATTGCTTAAAGCAACTTGGTAGTGATGTGGCCTAATCTTGCCAGTTGCCCCTACATCACACCTCGAAGATAGAGCCTCAACCACCCTTCACTAACTTCAATGTAGATGTAAGGACAAGATTAGGCCACATCACTACCAAGTTGCTTTAAGCAATTTGGTACCAAGGTTCCAGTGTATATACACACACATTTCGATTATCGAGATGAACAATCAACAAAAACATACCCTTTGACAATGTGAACTAAAGGGGGGCCAGTTGAGCATTTTCTTACTACCAGCCATTGTGCTTGGAGAAGTTTCCATCTCTAAACATAAACAGATCAAATGCAAACAACGATCAAAGCAAATAAAAACAAAACTTCATAAATCAAGAAGCATTTACCTATAGATTCCTTCAGTCCCACCCAAAAAAAGAAAACATTCCATAGCATAGATACATTAATAGCAGCACATTATTTGCAGAAGGGCACAGTATTAGCGACAAGTATTCTTCAAAATTTTCGGTTCTGAAGCACTAAATAAGATAAACCAATGGCCAGCTTGCACCATTATTTTTGGGGAGAGCCAGTTTCATGAACAATTTACTAAATAATTTTTATTTTTTAAAACTTCAACATCAATTTCAACATGGTTTAGTGAAAAAGAAATTAATAGTCATAGTGAAATTGTTAACTGCAATAAGCCTACTTCGATGTTTTCTTCTTCAAAGAACAGGGATAATTAATTGTATGATATTTCAATAAAGTAGTCTATTTCATGTTGCTCCCATTTTAGGAAGTTTTGCACCAAATATCTCTGAAACTTTTAATCTAAACATGATCAAGCTTGCAAAGACAACCACCACAGCTTCATCTCGTTCGCTTTCGATTCGTTTGGTTTCCTTGCAGCTGATGCGGTGGAGTTCCTAAGGTACAGAAATTCATGAATAAGAATGTGGCGACAGCAGGCTCCGCTGAGTATGTGTTTCGTAGGTTGGGTTTTGCAATTCAGAAAGGATTAGTGACGCAGCTTATTGTCCACTTGTCATCATCACATGTGTAATTGTTTATCGCATTAATATCAAGAGAAAAACAAAACAAAATAAAAAAAGAGAAACGGAGGATTTGAAATCAAAAAAAAATCTAAACTATGCAAAAAAAAAATAATCCAACTTCCATAAACCCAAAACCAATATAACCCTAAAAACTTCCATAGACTAATATAAGCTATTTGGGCAACATTTATTGGTCAATAGGACTGAAATGGGGAAAAAATTTTGGGCTTTAGGGTCAGAAAAAGAAGGAGAGGAATTTGGGGGCTGGTCTACAATCTTACTACTGCAGTGTGAATGAGATACTTCTTCAGAGAACTCCTCTTCGCCTTCCAAACGTCCAAGCTCAAATTTCTGAAACAATGGCAAGTAAATTTGAGTCAATTTGAGAGAGAGAGAGAGAGAGAGAGAGAGTCTGACCTGCATTGGACTTTGACAAGTCTTGCTTCCATCGCAGCAGAAAGGCCTGAGACGGAGAGGGGTTCGGGTGAAAGGAATTTATTGTAGAAGAAATTTTCAAAATAGCCCCAACCCAAACTTTTTTTAAAATCGATCCGGTTCAGTTTTTATTACAGAAATCGATCTAGTTTCTGGCCACGTCAGCACTGTGGTCAGAAACTTTGTCGATATAAAAAAAATCAGCTTTCTAATTGGTCAGTGTTGGCAACCCCGACTAACTAGAACCGGCCATCGCCCTATCCGGAGTTAGGTTATCTAAACAAGTTTGGGTTGCAAACCCCGACTAATTTTTGATTGAGGTTCCTAACCCCGGTCGTTTGGGATTGCCTCGTACAAAATGGTCGGGGTTGGGAACCCCGACTATTTAGACTTGGGCAACTACCATTTTGTGCGCGGTGAGGGAACTCAACCCAAACGGTCGGGGTTGGGAACCCCAATCAAATTGTTTAGATGGCCTAACCCTGGATAAAGCGATGGGCAGTTCTAATTAGTCGGGATTGTCAACCCCGACCAATTAGGAAGCCGATTTTTAAATCGATCTAGTTTCTGGCCACGGTGCTGACGTAGACAGAAATTAGGTCGATTTCTGTAATAAAAACTGAAGCGGGTTGATTTCTAAAAAAAGTTTGGTTTGTGGCTATTTTGAAAATTTCTTCATTTATTATATATTTTGAGTGGTAATGAGAGTTAGGTAGGGTAAATTACACTAAAACTCTCATTAACTTTCAGTATTCTACAGTAAACCCTTGG